AGAGCACTACCACCAATTTCAGTCTAAGTCAAACTTGTTGCCATGTAAACGCCAAATATATATCATTCAGAAATCCGAAACTACCAAAAGGCACCAGTACACCACCAGACCAATCTATGTGCCAAGTTTGGTAAGAAATATTGAACGGTTTTAAAGCTCTGCTCCGGAAAAGACAAATGTGCACGGACGCAAGCATGGACGAGTCCATTTTAATTACAAGCAGATTACAAAGCAATCAACAGTGCCTATCTTTTTAACATCCTACACAAAAGTTATGAAATCACAAAAATATTTTAGACTATCCAAAAATGCCATGTCAGATTTGTATCTTGCAAAACCTTTTTGGTGGCAGTTTTGGCCCTGCTTTGATCTTCAAATTTCAAGATATAACTATATACCAAGGTGACCATTTTATCCCAGCGTGTTGTCAATGTGCGGCCTGGACAAACTGAGTCCGATCTGAGTCACATCCTATTTACACCATGTGTAGCACTGTATCCCTCACAGGCCACTTCAGGCCGCTGTCAATCACAATCACAGGAAATTGATACATCGTGGCTACAGAACACTACACAAAACACAAATACACAGGTGAACAATTCTCTTAGATAAGTCACTGAAAATGGAAAATTTAATCACCTTCCACCAGAGCATGGACTAACAATGAGATGTTGTACAATGATTCTAATTTCTATACAGATTAGAATATAGCTTTCAAATTGTGTGAAAACGACAAAAGCATGTGATCATAGTTGCTAAATTTATCCCATACAGATTTCAAAACGTCATATCAGTTAGAAAATAAGGAAAAGATACAACCTAAAACTGCAGCTGTTTGTATTACCAGGTGTAACATGGCCATAGTGAAAACACCCATAACCATGAGAGAGAAGAGAGGGGAGGAGAGGGTGAGGAGTGAAGAGAGGGGAGGAAAGGGGAGGAGAGAAGTGAAGAGAGGGGGGGAGAGGAGAGGAGGAGAGAAAAAAGGGAGAGAAGAGAGGGAGAGGGAAGGGAGGAGGAACAGGGCAGGAGGGAGAGGAGAGATGACACTGTGACAGGAGAGAGGAGGGGAGGGAGGGGGAGGAAAGAAGGGAGGAGAGATGACAGGAGAGAGAGAGAGGGGAAAAAAGGGAGGAGGAAGCGAGGGGAAAGGAGAGGAGGAGAGATCGGAGAAGGCTGAGAGGAGGAGGGGGGAGGGGAAGAGAGGGGAAAGGAGGAGGGAGAGGGAGGAGGAAGGGGGAGGGAAGAGGAGGAGGAGGAGAGAGAAGAGGGGGAGATAGAGGAAAGAGGGGAGAAGGAGGAGAGCTGAGGAGGAGAGAGAGGAAAGGGAGGAGTGAAGAGAGGGAGGAGAGGAAAGGGAGAGCCGAGAGGGGAGAGAGGAGGAGGAAGAGAAGAGGGGAGGGGAGGAGGGAAAGGGAGAGGAGGAGAGGAGGAGAGAGAGGGAGAGGGAGAGAGAGGGAGAGGAGGAGAGGAAAGGAAGAAGAAGAGGAGAGAAAAGGGAGGATTGAAGAGGAGGAGAGGGGAGAACGGGGAAAGGAGAGGAGAGAGAGTGGGAGAAAGGAGAGGAAAGGGAGAGAGGAGAGAGGGGAGGGGAGGGGAGGAGAAGAGAGGGGAAAGGAGAGGAGTGAAGAGAGGAGAGGAGGAAAGGAAAGGGGAGGAAGAGAGGAGAAGAATGGCATGGCATTATTGATCATGGCAGCAGTTGCCAAACAGACTTCACACACTATATACAAGGGAATCAAACCTTCTACAAACCAACACATTACCATCAGGATAACCCATTGGTCCTCAGATCAACAAGAATTATTTTCAAAGATGCAAACAGCTTAAGTAAACCAGGGTGGGGCACAAGCTACAACTTAAAGTGGTCCAGATTGTACATAAATCTGATTTGAAACACACACTTGAATCAGGCTTCCCAAGATGTGGGTTACTAGTATTCGTTACTGGCTTAGCCAAGTGACAAAGGCATGTAGATAATGTCATCAAGCTACCATGACACGCTAGCAACAAGATCACTGAGCCTGATCCTCATCCAACGTTCTAACCCGTGAGTGAGTGAGTGAGTGTGTGAGTAAGCAATATTCCTGGAACATCATGGTGGGGGACACCAGATATGGGCTTCACACACTGTACCCATGTGGGGAATCAAACCCAGGTGTTCGGCGTGATGAGTGAACACTTTAACCACAAGGTTACACCACTGCCCCTAGATATGCAGTTGATGTACTGTTACTACATATACACAATGACATGAAAACAATGTGTCACTGTAAGAATAATTACAGTGGTACTGATATGACAATGGGTGTTTCTATACATCACTATACAATCAGGACTGACTGACTGACTGAGTTGAGTTTTACGCCGCTTTTAGCAATATCCCAGCAATATCACGGCGGGGGACACCAGAAATGGGCTTAACACATTGTGCCAATGTGGGGAATCGAACCCGGGTCCTCAGCGTGACGAGCCAACGCTTTAACCACTAGGCTACCCCACCGCCCCTATACAATCAGGACATTATTGTCCACAGTGACTAGGCCTAGTAATGACACAAACACTTCTGTATTAAGCACTTTACTCAATAAACGGTCGCTGAACAACTATAAACCAGTGGGCACCTTAACAGGCATCCAACGTGACATGCATATTTACATGTGTATAGTACCCCGCATTAACACTATTAATAACAGAAAACAATAGTGCAGAGAAGATTATTGCTCAAAACTTTCCATTTCTTTCTTGTTTGAATTAAGATTGTTCCTGACAGTTTGATATGTGAATATGCTGAAAACAAAATTAACCTATGATAATAATTATATGTGACCATATTTGTTGATATTCTACGTGACCTGGGTGATTACTGCAGCTAGCACTGGACTTGTTAGCTAAAGAAATATGGTACATTATTTTAAAATGGTATTGTAATCTAGCTGAATATTGCACATGTTTTTCACATTTTACATAAAATTAACTGATTCCACATAAGTATCCGCCAGTGGTTCCATCCTGTATCTCAATGTTCAGGAATCTCTTCTTCTCTAATGTGTCTCATGAGACATATAATAATAATATTAACCTAGGTCTGCTAATACAATATACAGTCGGGGAGCCAGGAAACATACTTCCTGAATGACTGATAACCAGTCCTCAAGAGCAGCTTTAATATACAGTATATACAGGAAACAAAACTTAAGCTGTTTTGCAAATGGTCTATGCCTTTTTCAAAACATTAAGACCTTCCTGGTTGTTAAACATTCTTGTTCCGAATATTACTGGTCTGGTTAACTGGGTATCCCAAACTGATCATCTCTGAGATGATGCTCTGTATTCCTGTTATGATATCTACATCCCGTGTAGTATTAATACAACAATATGCACATGTTAGTGTTGTTACCATGGAGACGGAAGTCATCTATAATCATTCATGAACCAATCCATGTTGCAAAACTATCATGATAATTATAATAATGATGATAACAAGGCAAAACTTCTATCAACTGAAGTCAGTAGTTATGGCTCCTTGAAAGAGTTCCTTGCAATCAGCCTCAAGCCTCTACTGCAGGTCAGTGATTCGTCACATCTCACAAAGACCATTCAACTAATTACATATGCCTTTCATCTATTTAGAAGTTTACACTTTTGGATAAACAAAATGATAACCTTTCAATGAGAAAATATCCTCACACATAAAACCTATTTCAATTTATGTCTTGCTACCCTAGCTGGATGTCGTACAGCTCCATGTTTCTTCAACAAATACCAGAACACAACCCCATTAGGCACAACAGGTACACTGGCACGTCATTTTCCAGAGAATCAAGTAATCAATACCTGCCATAAGTTAATGTGATATTGATCTCTAATTTCATCAAATGACTGAATCGAAAAGAGGTCAAGTTCAAATATTCTGGACAAAGATATAACCCAGTAACAGGCATCATGTTCTAATACTAATCAATGTATCTGTTACAGGAAATACAGTACATACTGACTGACACGCCCAGTTCTATATATGCATACAGAAGGGACACGATTTCATGGTCATACACAATGTCACACGGACACATCGAGGTAAAATGTGTTATCTTCAATGTTGACTTATGTCATACAAAATAGGAAATGTCTTCCTTGTCTGTCCCACAGTATCAGATATGAGCATACACCATGCAGCAAGACTGTCAAGAGATGTGGCTTGTAATGTATGGAGTAATGTCTCCATCTTCCATGTTCACCTCATTCATTATTATTACACTATACATGCTGGTGGTATGGAAAACAAATCCACATTGCCCATTGCTTTTCTAAACTGATATTTATTGTTACTATATAGTATGATGTCAGGATTCACAAATACATTGGTGCTTTGATAATATTCTCAGGTGATACAATGATTAATACAGACTTGCCTTAACTATTCATATTTTATCCGACATTATTACATGTCTTAATCCTGTTTTGTTTCAAACATGGATCCACACACATGGTATGACTTACTAAATTTTGCAAGCACATCTTTGTTTTTAGGCAAACAAGAAGTTTACAAATTACAATGCCTTTCAGAAAGTGGTCAAATCAATGTGGGGAAGAATAAGTCAATATCACATACTTGTTGAAAGGGTTGTCAAATGAAGATAGAATGGTCACATCTTCAGCCTTTTGTTTGTCTATTAATGAACACGAATGATTTGATATGGATAGCCAACTTCCTTTGTGCGGTGGATACAACGTTTCGGTGTAGATGCTAACACCTTTACCAAGCAAGTTTACCAACTTGCTTAAAATGGTGTTGGCATCTACACCGAAATGTCGTATCAAGGAAGCCATCTATCCATACCTTCTATCTGATACTTCAGATACTTTGCAGAAATAGGTCAGTGAAAAGTCAATTAAAACGGATAATCTACCATTAACCTATGGTGTTAAATCATAACTGTATTTATGTGACTATCAGCCTACTATTACCACAAGGCTACTGTTGGCCCCTGTAAGGATACATATATACAATCCTCCATGAATCTCTTCTTGAGGTTGTCAACAATTGCTGACTCGGAGATCTTTTGCAGGAGGACCATGTCATCCACTCCGCTGGTTTTGACATTGCGACTCTGCCAGTGGTATGTCTGGAAAAACAAAGGCCTTCAAACATGAGATTCAATTGATGTACAGGAAACAATGCCTTTTTTCAGCATTACTGTATACTTGATGACCAAAGTAATATGGTAAGTTTCATTTTTTTATATTTCTACAGATCATCTGAAAAAAACAAAAACACTCACCTACATGACAAACACTGCCATAACCTACCTTAAACTTGAAAAGGATAATTTCTCATACACTAAAGTAAAATTGTTTCATAATTTTCAGAAAAATGTTCAATATCTGAAATAACAAAAAGTGTCAAAAGAAACAATGAAATAACAGCACAGGTCCTAGTCACTGAAAACATGTGAGAATTTGGATCCCACGATACATAAAAATATACCTAAAGAAAATTAAAAGCGATAACCTCCTACCTAATTTTGGCAACAACTAATATAAGAAACTATTGCACATGAAGCTGACTTCCTGTTCCTTCTAACTGTGAGCCATGTATCACCAGACACACAATCAATCATACCAGTCAGGAGACTGATTAATCTGCATGCTCAAGGTGACAGATTTAACAAGTGTGAAAACTTCTTACACAACAAGCGTCACTAATGTTCGCTAATTAGTTAAGTGATCATGGTGATTGCTGAAGCAGCGGCTTATCTGACCTATGTAACTACTTGCAAGTGGGTGGAACTTAACATGGTCCATCTGACCTATGTAACTACTTGCAAGTGGGTGGAACTTTGGTGGTCATGGTCCATCTGACCTATGTGGAACTTAACATGGTCCATCTGACCTATGTACATGGTCCATCTGACCTATGTAACTACTTGCAAGTGGGTGGAACTTAACATGGTCCATCTGACCTATGTAACTACTTGCAAGTGGGTGGAACTTAACATGGTCCATCTGACCTATGTAACTACTTGCAAGTGGGTGGAACTTAACATGGTCCATCTGACCTATGTAACTACTTGCAAGTGGGTGGAACTTAACATGGTCCATCTGACCTATGTAACTACTTGCAAGTGGGTGGAACTTAACATGGTCCATCTGACCTATGTAACTACTTGCAAGTGGGTGGAACTTAACATGGTCCATCTGACCTATGTAACTACTTGCAAGTGGGTGGAACTTAACATGACCTATGTCCATGGGTGGAACTTATGTCCATCTGACCTATGTAACTACTTGCAAGTGGGTGGAACTTAACATGGTCCATCTGACCTATGTAACTACTTGCAAGTGGGTGGAACTTAACATGGTCCATCTGACCTATGTAACTACTTGCAAGTGGGTGGAACTTAACATGGTCCATCTGACCTATGTAACTACTTGCAAGTGGGTGGAACTTAACATGGTCCATCTGACCTATGTAACTACTTGCAAGTGGGTGGAACTTAACATGGTCCATCTGACCTATGTAACTACTTGCAAGTGGGTGGAACTTAACATGGTCCATCTGACCTATGTAACTACTTGCAAGTGGGTGGAACTTAACATGGTCCATCTGACCTATGTAACTACTTGCAAGTGGGTGGAACTTAACATGGTCCATCTGACCTATGTAACTACTTGCAAGTGGGTGGAACTTAACATGGTCCATCTGACCTATGTAACTACTTGCAAGTGGGTGGAACTTAACATGGTCCATCTGACCTATGTAACTACTTGCAAGTGGGTGGAACTTAACATGGTCCATCTGACCTATGTAACTACTTGCAAGTGGGTGGAACTTAACATGGTCCATCTGACCTATGTAACTACTTGCAAGTGGGTGGAACTTAACATGGTCCATCTGACCTATGTAACTACTTGCAAGTGGTCCATAAACATGCTATACAACATCATGTGAAAGGGCATAAAAATATGAAGTCAAACTGGACTCATAATCTCATAATTGATGATTGGTTCATTACAACTGACCAATCATCGAAAATAATTGGTTATTGTCATTTATCAATTTTTTCTATGTTTGTCAATGTACATAAAATAAAGAAAAACATATAGTTCTTTCCGGGTTTTTTTAAAATTGCAAAAAAAGCATTTACAAATTTCACATGATGTTAGGAACATAAATTTCCTGGAGTCTTTAAGATAAATTCAATCCTGACTTGGAACGACCTTGTAGTGCTTATGAAATGTACCAGACAAAACCAACCTTGTGAAAAGTATTGGTAATGCAAACAAGTGTTCAAAAATTGTTTGTGTTCGATTATGAGAAAACATGATCGAATGCTTGGTCGTTTAGTAATTGCGACCAATCTTTGATATTTCAATTAATCGAACCACCACTACTTCAAGCAGGGTCCAAAATGGGCTGATATTTTCACTCTTAATGCCAGATGTGTAATAATTGATGGTGGTGTCTCCAGACTACAGTGAATGCAGTAACCACCGGTCTCAGGTAATCCATGTTAAATTTTTAAGTTTTGGTGTGTTTTTTCTCTTGAGATATCAAAACATTTTTATCAGGATCAGGGATTGGAATTTTAATTTTCTCCCAGAATTAAAAATCTGTTTGAAATGGATTCATTTGAAAAAATATTTGAATAAATAGCAAATATGGAAAATTATGGCATAATCAAGGAAATTGTGATCACATATTTGATGAGCAAAGGTATCTGTAACACTGTAACAACGTAACAAGGAAAAGTATCATTCAAACCTTTTGTGAAGAATATACAACAAACTTAAATTTCTTAGCCAAATAAACAATCATTCATTGATTCTCCATGTTCACCCAAGCCCATTTAACAGCCAAGGTGTAAACCCAAATCATTCTGGCAACACTTTTGGGTCTTCCAAGTCAAGAACTACCAAGTAATGTCTTAGTGCACAGTCTAAAACAATAGCTCTCACATAAGGTATCCCACTGTAACATGAATTTGGCATTCTCCTGTTTTCGGTGATATATTTCTCGCTGCATGCAAATTTCCTGAAAGGAGGTCACGTCAACTAGCTGTGTGAAAAATGTTTTCAATAATGGAAATCAGGAAGGTAAGAATAACAAGAAATTAGCAGTACATAAATAATAACATGAATTTTCTTAATACTATATTTTACCTCATTATAAAGCTGTGTAAATAAGGTAAATGAGCCGAGTTTCAATCTTCGTTTGCATCGTCTGCTAGCTGATGATATTTGTCAACATTATATCACGTGACTAGTGACGTAGGATGCCGCCCGATTAAGAAACTACGGAAACATTTTCGGGCCATCCTTAAACAATTTCTGATACCTTTTTCTCGTATCCTTTCAGACAAATACAACCATGCGTGGCACGTATAGGTCAAATTACACCAGAGATGACCTAGATGATGTTTATAGACTGATGGTAGAAACAAATCTGTCCGCACAGAGAGTAGCAGATAGGTGTGGAGTTCTGGTTTCTAATCTTAAGGATCGTTTGTTGGGCAATATCAGCTTAGATCCTGTCATGTCGTGTCCCTTGCCGCTGTTTTCCTCACAAGAAGAATCCTTTTTAGCGAGCCGTTTCAGAGTTATGGGGGAGATTGGCTGTGGTTATGCTCATCAGGAGACCATTAATCTTGCAAGTGATTAGGCTGTCAATCAAGGACATAGAGACAGAGATCTTCCCTTAAGTCTCCAATGGCTGTAGTTTCGTAGATAGATGCCCGGAACTTCACAGAGTACAGTACAGAAACTAAGGAAACTTGAAGCAGCGAGGGCGAGATCAGCCATCAAAGAAAACATCAGATTTCACAGAACTGTCCAACGCCATGCAAAAGAACAACTTGCAAAGTTCACCTGAGGCTATTTTTAACATCGATGAAAAGGCACTATCAACTGATTGCTGCAGTTAACGCAGCTGGTGGCAGTGTTCCCCCTTACTTTTATTAATTTCTTGGTCATCGTATACCACCCGGTACTGGTGGCACCGTTTCAGAGACAGGGTGGTAAAATATGGAAGTATTCAGCACGTACATGAAAACGAACCTGGTCTGACCATGACTTGGTTGTATTAAATGCCTGCCCGATCTTTCTCCAGACAGACACCAGCGGTTCAAATTCAACAGGTGCGTTCATTCAGGACTACGACGACAGACTAGATACTGCACAGACATTCTTGGAATCTTGGGGTGGAGAAGTCTTGAGAAATGTTCAAACATTCATTGATTCACCAGTGTACATAACAAGCCAAGGAACACTATCAGTAAAATTGATGGCGGGAAAGTTAGCACAAATCATGACTAACATACTTTGTCTAGAATGTAAAATATTTTTAGTATGATAGCATGGTTACATATGTACGGCGAATCACTGTTACGTCGCTGAAAACAGGTGAAACTGGGATGCTGTTTGACCTTACAGAATAATCCATACCATGATTATCATTGGTCATTTTCAGTTTCCTATTAATTTCTGGTTTCATTTATGAATATGCATTAAAGGGCTACACATACCGTATAACTACATGGCCTATGTCTAATCGTTCCAGTAAGTTAAAACTCTCCAGATTTCACAAAATCTGAATCACAAACTTTATCTTTATCCGCATTCAATTAAAGACACGATTAAAAGTGATAGAAATTGTCTATTATTTGTGAAACTGAATGATTGCTGAGATTGAAACTGAGATTGCATATTGATACAAGGAAGTGACAGTCAATGCAGCACAAACTATCTCATAGCGTGTTTGAGGTGTCATTTATGGGCATTGATGGATCCAAAAATAGCCCGCCACCACTGCCGAAACTTGAACGGCAACAGGTAGCCATTGCAGTCACCTGTTATATGTCTTATAACAATTCGCTGACAGCCCCAGAGAACTTGACAACAACTTGATAGCCCGTAACAGAAGACATTGTGTTTTCGAGTATTTGGAGTATATCAGTGTTGACATCTACAATCGATTTCAGGTTACAACAGAATCTCGCGACTATCGTAACACAGATTACTCACCATTTTGCCAGTGAAGTGCTGGGTTTCAGCCCGTCTTGGCCACAATAAGAATGAAACACAGTATCCTCGCGCTGTTCTTAATCCATGTCAATTTGTTTCAATAATTTCTACACACTCGGACATGACAACAAAGTTCACTTTTCCGTATGAAGCAAAAGACGGAAACACTGTATCTCCTTCCGCTGTTGCGCAGTGATGCAGAACACCTGTGTGTGACGTCATGTTATTACCCATATATGGACTACGGACACGGAGTTTCATACCGAAGGGATTGTCCATCAGGTGTGATGTTTTATTTGGGAACGTTTGTGAGCGTAATAAATCATTTTCCCCAAATGGCCTTTGATAAACACATTAAAATCTATCGCGGATAATTTGACAGTATTTCCGTATTGTGTTTTGCCACATGGTCTATTTGTACTCCAAACCAATAACATACATGCAGTACAGTATATTCGGATTTTTGTTGTTGAAGAAAAGTTGTAGTTGAGTTGAGTTCTACGTCACATCGGCATTTTTCCAGCCATATAGTGACGAGATCAAGCCTGAATTCATACACAGTTAAGCATATAAAGTAAGGGGTTACTCTACTTGATCTTAACGGCCATCGTTGATATAAGTGATGGTATTAAATGAAGGTGACTCGGTGGATCTGGTGTTCTGTCTTGGTGACGGAGGGTCAGCATACCATGAAGACATGGATGGATTGCTCATGTTTTCTGTCACTGGTTTACGTGCTGACGTCATATACCAGATGGAATACCGTCGAATGCAAATTATAAACTACATAGCTTCTTTAGAAAGGGTTACATCGAGCCTGTGTATTTACTTTAGCGGAGGGGCGATGCAGTAGCCTTGTGCTTAAAAGCGTTTGTTTCGATTCCCCACATGGATACAATCCATGAAGCCGTTAACATCCGTGATATATATGTTTGTTAAATGGGATGTAAAACCCAACTCTTTAGAGGAAAGACGGCGGGGTAACCTTGAGGTGAGAACACTCATCAATTACACTGAAAACCTAGCCAAGTGGTTACAGCGTTCTCTCATCACGCCAAAGAACCGAGTTCGATTCCCCACATAGGCACAATTTGTTGCGCCCCATCGTGATATTGCTAAAAAGCGGACTAAAAATCATTCTTTTGCGGGGGACTGAACAATGCCAAGCTTTAGTTTGCTCTCGAAACAGACGTACTGATCTGTAATTTTCATTCCGGGTGAACATTGAGATTTTGGTATTGTGTAAGTTCTACCCACATAATGCCTTTTTGAAACCAGATCTTGATTACGGATGGGTGTGTGTACAGTACGGAGTAGAAGACAGATGTTCGAACAGTCATGCCCAGCCCAGCCCATGCAGTATGAAATATCAATTCTCGGAAGCACACCCATCCTTCAGTGGCAAATAAGACGGGAAGTTGACAAAGCTCTGAGCCAGCAAACAGTTCAATAGTTATATAAACTATTGAACTGGTAACATCAGAATTAGCCTTCAGTAACCCATGATTGTTGTTGGAGGCGACTAACGCGATCAGCTGGTCAGGCTCGCTGACTTGGTTGACACATGTCATCGTATCCACGTAGATCGTAATTGCGTAGATCGATGCTCATGTTGTTGATCACTGGATTGTTTTGTCCAGACTCAATTATTTACAGATCGCCGCCATATTGCTGAGTATGGGTCTTACAACTAACAAAGAAAAACATCATGATTGTCTGCAAATGATACTGATGCATTTTATCTCTGGAGACAAATTTGGGATGCTAAATTCAGATTTTGATGCTAAATCTAGTACGGTATCATGATTGGTTAAGTATGTCAAGCTCCAGCATCAGTGATCAGTGGGTTTCGGAGTTGTTGTTAACAGTGCGAGGAGATGCATTTTGAGAAAATTGAAGAGCATTCAAAGGCGAAATGCAAGTCAAACTTTAAAATGTCCCCCTTAAAATCCCCAAAGAAATATGCCCAGTAAATTACTGACTACACACATATGCCACATGTCCTAACATTGTGAAAGAAACACCTGTTTAATTATGGGTGTCACAAAAGTCAAATGGAAAATCAGTTTGGAATGTTTGTACAAATCGGGTGTCATTGTTGGTGGGAATAAGCTAGCATGTTTCAGCTTCAGGTGGCTTGTGGTTTCTCAGTGGATGTTTACCATAGATGACATTGGGAATCCCCTGTATTCAAGACTTGCACACATGCTAGTGAAATCTCCTGTACAATCAAGACATGTATGCATCATGGTATAAATCGCATACACAATCAATGGCATTGTACACATCTTGGGAAATCCCATGCACAATCAGTAGTCTTGCATACATCTTGGGGAAATCTGCTTTCTGAACAAAAACATTACGAAAATAATAAATATGCACCAACACTGACCAGAAGTAAAATCCTTTTATTAACAGTACTCAGTGTAAAGAATATTTCATTATGTTCAACACGAAAACAAGAATCCCAAAAGAGGAGTGGTGTTGTTCAAACCTTTAACGCCAAGGATCATCATCCTGAGGTGTGTATTTCAAGGCATGTTATAAGGGGAAGTCACATGTTCTCCACATCCTAGTCTCAGATTAATGTTCCTGTAAAGGTCACTCTACTTGTATTTCAAGGCATGTTATAAGGGGAAGTCACATGTTCTCCACATCCTAGTCTCAGATTAATGTTCCTGTAAAGGTCACTCTACTTGTATTTCAAGGCATGTTATAAGGGGAAGTCACATGTTCTCCACATCCTAGTCTCAGATTAATGTTCCTGTAAAGGTCACTCTACTTGTATTTCAGCATTAGTTAGTTTTCTTCCACCTGTTCTGTGCTCAATTCTGCCACTTATCACCTGCATGTGTATACCTAATAACTGATCAAATCTGATGTTCTGAATGCACAATCAGTGAACATTATGCCATGTTAGTTCAGTGTCTTCTGGAGACCCCCCCCAATTTAACCATTTGCCGTTCAAAACACATGCAGGTGGATATATGGGCTCAATAGAAGTGCCTTTGGCTGATAAATCAGGGGGAAATAATAAAGTAAAATAATTAACATAAATATTCTGACAAATACAATTATGACTTCTTCTATTATTGGTAAAAGTTCTTATTTTCCTAAATTCTGAGGTATTTTAACACTACATTCTGAACAATGATATAAAACTAACCATTAAGCCTCATTCTCTTCACTGGTGCTGTTACCTTTCATATAAGATACCTACCCTAAAATACATTAGTCATAGGTACGTGAACAAGAACTGGGAAATATATTATTACAATTTGAGAATTTTGCTCTTACCTTTTGCTGCTGACATAGGGCTTGTCAGCAGACCTAAATATAACCTGCCACGAGCCAAAACTGGAACTGGGATTTTAACTTGGCCAGCCTGGGACAGCATTACTAGTACTATCAGAACATATGACCCTTCTTCCCTTCATTCACTGTTAAAGGAACCCAAGGATTCCACATATTGTACACATGTAAAATTGTACAAATTGTTCTCATAATAGACATCACTATCAGCAGTAAGTTCACAATGTAATGAAAAAAAATGTAAGGTTGACTTCATGTTTAAATATGATTATGACTTCACTTAAGCATCAATATCATCAATATTACACATACAACGAGTGTTTCAGTGTTGTTGTTTCCAGAGTACTAAATATGTACAAGTATGTGTTTCTACATCAGAACTGTTAAGAGTCTAAATGATATGTTCCTCGTCATCAGATGCCTGTAACCATGGTACTAATGTTTCAGGAACATTAGATTTACACTTAATGCTTTCATATGAGTATCATGATGTGCGGTTAACACAACTGACCACTACTAACCACCAAATAAAGACAGCAGTTTTAAAAGAAATGTGGTGTTCAAAACATTGGAGTTACAGAAGAGTGTTAGATTTTACCTTCAAGTACTATAGTTAAAAACCTAAGACCTCATTTTCAGATTTATTTGACCTAAAATATCCCAACACTAAGATTTTCAATATAGGTTAAGCAAGTTGGGAATCTGAATGTTCAAAGAATGCATCAATGTTTGAAGATGAAAGAAATTGTCAGGTGGCCATCGGCCACAGACTTTGGAAGCAGCTCATACTGACTCTTTAAGCTCCCGATTATGAAACTGCAGTGTACTGTGACAAATACATCAACAAATATTTACTGCAGGCCACAAGGACCTAAATCTACAAAACACTGGCCTACGATCAAGTGCTTTTTTTTAAACTTGTCTGCAGAACAAGATTCCAGTCGTCATTAATTACATTCCCAATATTTCATAACACTGCTCTACCATCAGCTGAATGGAGGACTGAACCAATATTCCCTCACAAGGGCTTGGAAGAAGGGATGAAACAAGAAACAATCTTATCCAAGCATATTATACACAACTACAATGTACGACATAAATTATCCACATTAACAAAAAGCCACATAAACAACAAAATAACTTTTGCATACCTTTGAGAAAGGTAAAAATGTCTTGTTCTGGCTACAAATACACAATTACAATGTATAAATAGATTTACACTTAATGCTTTCATATGAGTATCATGATGTTGTGCGAGTTAACACAACTGACCACTACTAACCACCAAATAAAGACAGCAGTTTTAAAAGAAATGTGGTGTTCAAAACATTGGAGTTACAGAAGAAAAGTGTTAGATTTTACCTTCAAAGTACTATAGTTAAAACCTAAGACTTCATTTTTTCAGATTTATTTGACCTAAAAATATCCCAACACTAAGATTTTCAATATAGGTTAAGCAAGTTGGGAATCTGAATGTTCAAAGAATGCATCAATGTTTGAAGATGGAAGAAATTGTCGAGTGGCCATCGGCCACAGACTTTGGAAAGCAGCTCATACTGACTCTTTAAGCTCTCCGATTATGAAACTGCAGTGTACTGTGACAAATACATCAACAAATATTTATTGCAGGCCACAAGGACCTAAATCTACAAAACACTGGCCTACGATCAAGTGCTTATTTTTAAACTTGTCTGCAGAACAAGATTCCCTTTGAGAAAGGTAAAAATGTCTTGTTCTGGCTACGAAATACACAATTACAATGTATAAAGGTAATGTACTATGATGTAGAACAACAATGTTATGCACCTTCAGAGAACAGCCCAAGGGAAGTAGTCTCCCTTTGACAGATGCATGACAATGTGTAATGCTATAGTCTTGTAGGAGTAGTCTCCCTTTGACAGATGCATGACATGTGTAATGCTTTGGTCTTGTAGGAGTAGTCTCCCTTCGACAGAAGTGCTATGCATTGTAGGCGATGAGTTGTATTTTCTTTGATAAATAATCTTATGCAGGCTCCCAGTAAAAGGAGAGTACCCCCTGAGCAATTAAGTTACATCATGTGGCTTTAGTGGCTGTAAAGGGCTCCCCTTGATAGACAACACTTTAGCCAATGTATACACAACACATCCGCAGCACTAAAGTAGTAATAACACAGAGTCCCTTGTAATCTCCAGATCTCCTGCATAAAGCTGACAAATGACCTCAACACTGAGTTTTCTAGATAACAACAGAATCGACAGCTGCAAGGTTGTGATGTTATGTAAAAAGGAATTATTTCCAAGGTGCATTCCTCCAAGTACGGCCAACAAAACGGCTAGGATTGAGGGCAGCTAAGGTGTAAAGATGGGTGAAGATATTACGCAGTCTTCTGATGTTGATGGGATGCTTCACACCTGAACATTATGCATAGTGTTTGTAAACTTGGCTGCCTTTTTGTTGACGCATTGGTGCACCTTGAAGTTGGAAGTTCATGTACATGCACCATTTGCTGCCGCTGATCCATTCTGTTTTGTCTTCGATCCTCCTTTTGTGAAGTCAGCTGAGATTAAAAAAATGAAATACCACTTGAGAAATTCAAAAGAAAGAAATACTGTTGAAAGAAAATGATCCTGCTAGATATGATAGAACTATATAACAGCCCCTGCCAGGTACCCTACAGTTTACTAGAGCCTCTGACAGAACATGTCACTGCACCTGACAGGTGTGTTACAACCATACAGGAGCAGCTGACAGGTGTGTTACAACCATACAGCAGCACCTGACAGGTGTGTTACAACCATACAGCAGCACCTGACAGGTGTGTTACAACCATACAGCAGCATCTGACAGGTGTGTTACACACCATACAGCAGCACCTGACAAGAGTGTTACAACCATACAGCAGCACCTGACAGGTGTGTTACAACCATACAGGAGCACCTGACAGGTGTGTTACAACCATACAGCAGCACCTGACAGGTGTGTTACAACCATACAGCAACACCTGACAGGTGTGTTACAACACATACAACCATACTGCGGCACCTGCACAACCATACAGCAGCACCTGACAGGTGTGTTACAACCATGACCTGACAGGTGTGTTACAACCATACAGGAGCACCTGACAGGTGTGTTACAACCCATACAGCAGCACCTGACAGGTGTGTTACAACCATACAGCAGCACCTGACAGGTGTGTTACAACCATACAGCAGGTGGTGTGTTACCCATACAGACAGGTGTGTTACAACCATACAGCAACACCTGACAGGTGTGTTACAACCATACAGCAGCACCTGACAGGTGTGTTACAACCATACAGCAGCACCTGACAGGTGTGTTACAACCATACAGCAGCACCTGACAAGTGTGTTACAACCATACAGGCGCACCTGACAGATGTTACAACCATACAGCAGCACCTGACAGGTGTGTTACAACCATACAGGAGCACCTGACAAGTGTGTTACAACCATACAGCAGCACCTGACAGGTGTGTTACAATACAGCAGCATACAGGTGTGCACCTGACAGGTGTGTTACAAACCATACAGCAGCACCTGACAGGTGTGTTACACACCATACAGCAACCTGACCAACCATACAGGGGGTGTGTTAGCACCTGACAGGTGTGTTACAACCATACAGGAGCAGCTGACAGGTGTGTTACAACCATACAGGAGCACCTGACAGGTGTGTTACAACCATACAGAGGCACCTGACAGGTGTGTTACAACCATACAGCAGCACCTGACAGGTGTGTTACAACCATACAGGAGCACCTGACAGGTGTGTTACAACCAAACAGAGGCACCTGACAGGTGTGTTACAACCATACAGGGGCACCTGACAGGTGTGTTACAACCATACAGGAGCAGCTGACAGGTGTGTTACAACCATAATAGCAGCACCTGCAAGGTGTGCTACAATCATTCGGCACCTGACAGGCATGGTACAACCATACAACACCTGATAGGCATGTTACAGCCATACAACGACTTGTTACATACATACTGATTACAGTCCAAATGCAGCTGTACAATACAAACACCACCAAGTTGAAATGGCACATCGCTGACTTCTATATGTTTCAGACTAGGTCCCCGAACAAACTTCCCCAAATATGCATTGTATGCAAGCAACAGCCCAACATACCTGCATCCATGATGAATGTGTCTGTGAAGTGCTGTTGACACTGCATGGTCTCGTCGCTGTAGTTGCCGGGAACCCCCAAACACAACAAGTTTGTCTCCTGCGACAGCCACAGAGTGCTGCCCTCTAGCATCAGGAATCTCCCCCTCACACTTAGGCTGCAGCCATTCGCGAGTTTCTGCAGAGTGACAGGACAAAACGGTTATACTGGAAGCAATACGATAATTCATGACCTGAACAATCGTGTAAAATGAACTCTCCTTTGTTTTTACCATTTTCAGAAACATTACCGACTGTAAACTGTCCATTTCTTCAGTTTCTCACAGAAATAGAGATATGGATGCAGGGGAAGTAGAAGTTGAACAATCAGCCATATGTGACAAACAGGGAGTACTGGTCATGAAGGCGTGCTCCGTCTTCCATTCATGTCCAGCATACAGATGCTTGCTCAATCTCCTACATGTAAACAACATACATACATGTTTAATCTCCTACCTGAATACACTATATAAAAGTATGTTCAGTCTCCTACCTGTGTAAACTACATATATACATGCTCAATCACTTACCTGTGTCGAAGATATGAACATCAGCAAAGTGCTGGTTACAGGTTCCCCGCCCACCCATGATGACAGCACGCTTGCCAACACTGACAGCTGTATGAAACGACCTGGGCTCTGGTTGTCTCCCCTTCACCTCTAGGTCAGTGGCCCACTTCCTTGTGTCTGGTAAAACAAACGATGGAGCCTTACAATTGTTTAAAGACACAACTTTCAATCTTATTTAGCTTACAAATATGATGTGTCAATTATCCAACTGACCCTTGGTGGTATGCAAAACAAGCCTACAGTTACATATCTGAGTGAAGTGATAAAAGAAACAGTTAATAATTACCCACCCAACTATATTCAAACTGTAATCAGAAAAACAAATCTTAATTTAGTCTGTATGACCAGTAGTGGACTAACGTCTTTGTTTTTAGCCATGATCACATGATCTTAATCATCACAATTGGGAGATATAACAGATAGTGAGTTAAGTCTTTTACGTCACTGCCCGCAATATCATGACTTTTATACTACAAATTCACAGCCAGGCAAAGCAGACCCTGAAGCAGAAGTAGACTGACTGAGTTTTGGTTTTAAGCCGCTTTTAGCAATATTCCAGCAACATCACGGCGGGGGACACCAGAAATCAGAAATGGGCTTCACACATTGTACCCATGTGGGGATTCGAACCCGGGTCCTCGGCGTGACGAGCCAACGTACAGCAGAAGTAGAAGTAGCCATAATGATTGTAGGTGGTGAAGACGTATACTGATTGCTAGAGATGTCATACAAACATACATACATACACACATACATACATACATACATACATACATACATACATACATACATACATACATACATACATACATACATACATACATACATACATACATACATACATACATACATACATACATTTCTTGAATTGATACGTATCACGATACCCATGTCACAATTCGATACATATCACGATACCTATTTTCACTGAATTATTACGTAAATTAAGTTACATTTTGAACATTAATATTTCATATTTTATAACTGTCCATGAAAAGATCAACATTTTTTATTCTCAGAGATTAAGAAGTTCTAATTTCCCATTCTTTGTGCATGAAAATAATCATTTACAGGGTTCATAATCTACGCTAGTCCACTAGCCTGAGGCTAGTAAATCTCCCGGAGGACTACCAAAACATCTAACAATACTAGTCCGCCGGGCTAGTACAGCTTTCTGCTTGACCCATTTAACACCATAGGCCGGAAAACCGGCCAGGCAGTAGTCGCATCAATATGATATATAACGATTCAAGTCTATCACTAACTATAACTAACATATGATTCAAGTCTATCACTTTTCTCAATGTCTGAAAACACTTATTACATTTCAAATGACCATATATTATCGACAGGATTAGAATTATAAGCTATTTTTCGCAATGGTATTGAAAAACAACAATTCTCGGACACATGCTTTGGCAATGGGCCCGCATCAAAGTTGTCAAAGAGCAAATTAACGATGTTTCGAGACAATAAAAAAAATTGAATAAACTGAAGAATATATTCAATAACAGTACTCATAAAAGTTGTCAAACGTACATTACCTACAGGTCATAACCTAGCACGATACGTCCACTAAGGTCCATAATATACGTATAGGTAGTGATCTTGTGCGTAACACGTTCAGAATAGCATGATTTTTCCCAAAACTTTTGTCTGAATCAAAAAGTTTTTGTTTATGAGGACGGTATCCATTGCTGTAATATGATTGGCTGCCTTAGGTCACGTGTGTCATTTTGACCAATCACGATCCTCGTAGCAGAATGTGACATAAAAGCGTCATTAGAAACCAATCTTTATCCAATCAAATCACTTCTTACAACTGTGAAAATACTCTTGGTACAGTGATATTGTTGATGTTCAGAGCTTTCGAACGATACCCGCCATGTTTTTCATATGAAGCTTCGAAAACGGAGGTACTTCCCACTGTTGTATCACGTTACCGAGCGGAAAGCCACTGGTATTGGGAAATAGACGACCATACATATTATTTGAGAAATCTCTTTATAATAGTTTTCCGATTACGTACACATGAAAATATAAAAGAAAAACATAAGGGGATAATTATGACATCTTACAAATGGAAAAAATTGCCACATTTTCTGCTCCCTTCGTAGTTTATCTGGACATTATAAATGTGTAAGCTTGCATTTTCATTAAATATTAACTTATTTATGTTGTAGTTGTATTATTTGAATAATATGATCATATCCATCTGTCATGACTGAATTAAGCTATGCCAAAACATATTGTGTTTGTTTGTTATGATAGATCTACCACACCTCTGCCAATACTGCTTGACTAAGTCAAATTAATTTTTTGGTTAATTAAAGATTGAAATTTGAGGACTACCAAAATTGTATGAGGACTAGTAGTTTGGTGAAAGTCATTAGTCCTCATGGCTAGTAGACTTTTCAAAGAGATTTCTAACCCTGATTTATAACTCTCATAACATCAAAAAACATGATAACAATTGCAAAATGTAAATGATACATCAACATTTTTAAAGCGATACTTTCAAAACTAAATATCGATACAGTTTTGAATGTATCGATAATTGTATCGTCTTAGAAAAAGTATCGATGCATCGTGGCATCCCTACTGATGGACATCACATCCTTTTCAGGCGTCATATGGACCTGTGCAATGTTCGTTTTGTTAGTTACTTCGGCAGTATGCACAGTGTCCCCCTTTTTCAAAATCCTGGATCTGCCATAGAAGGTCAAGACGACATACTTACCAACATTGAATATGTGCAGATCATTTTGCCGAGCCTCCATGTCACGACCCCCAAAGATGATGATGTCTCTGTCGACAGCACACATGGCATGAGCTGCTCTCGGGGTTGGGAGGGCAAGGTTCATCTGCATCGGCTGAGACCACTGATTCTTCTCTGTTACCAAACAGAATATGACAGAAACCATGAACATTAGAAACACTGACATAAGAACTAACAGAAGAGGAAGACTCCCCTACATGATCTACAGGGTCAGATATACTACCAGCCCTCAACATTAGATTACTGATGGAGACTAGTGCTGATAGAAAACATGTAATAGTGTAACACAAGATCATTGATGGACCATTGAGCATCCTTCTGTACGATGCAACAATAGGGTTTGCAGACCATTGTGGCGACCACTATATGGCGGAGGGCTGTAAACAACTGAGTTTGGGCCAGACAATCCAGTGATCAACATCATGATCATTGATCTACACAAGTGGGATACAACAACATGTCAACCAAGTCTGCCAGCCTGACCACCCAATCATGGTAGTCGTCTCTTACAACAAGCACATGTATCTAAACTGGATAAAAATCCACAGGAAAACACATCAATTTTGCCTTTACTCCCAGCAATTGTTCAGTCTAAGTAAACTTAGGCTCAGTGTTATTCGTTACACTGCTATACTGAATCTAACAAAACCTAGTAGAAGGTCGCGTCAGCTAACCTTTTGGACTTGCCAATCAGAACACAGCTTACCAAATCGCGAAATTTAACATTCGCACATACCGTTTGAACCTTTACCAAAAAACTCAAACGTTTCCGAATGCTTTTCCCCCGCACAATCGCTTCCGAGTGATACACGCAACCAGTAAACAATTGCTGAAAATAGCGTTTTTGTCAATAATCAAGGATAACCATGTCTTAGAAACCCATAAGTGTATATACTGCAGGTCAAATATCTGTGTGTTATGCGGATAGATCAGAGTCAGCAACCAGGGAAGAGAAAATCCAAAAAACGTTTTGTAAGTCCCGCTGAACCCTAACAAGTAGTCGTTGTCAGATTGGTTTAATACGTTCGGCCGTCTTGCGTTTGACTGGACGGCCATAGGTCGCTCAAAGGTTAGCTGACGCGACCTTCTGCTTGGTTTTGTTAGACTCAGTATAGCTGTGTAACAAATAATACTGAGCCTAAGTTTTCCTAGACTGAACAACTGTTAGAAAGAGCATATATATGTTGAGCTGGTCATATAACATGTACAAATCAAACGAATGAACTATTTCAAACGTTTTAAGTCAACAATAAAGAACATAAACAATAAAAACGTAGCAGTACAATTCAACATCTCTCACATTATTAAATGAATTTATTCAACTTTAAGGAGATGACAAGGTTAAAGAGTTTACCAGTATCAAGCACATATAGATCGTTGAACCACCCAAATTCTGCACCACCATCAGGTAATTCATCATCCGACTCATCATCCTCACTCTGAAAACATTGCCACAATTGTTTGTAATGCCAAAGTTACTTTAGTTCAAACAGAAACAATAAAAATAGAAATGAAACATAGAACATATATTTACATATACCGGAACACAGAAGTCTTGCAATACATATATCTTAAATAAAGTATCACAACATACTGGTATACATCTATATAGTAATGTCATTTTCTGACTAAAATTGATATTTTATACTTATCCTGACTCATGCTTTTTGCTTGTCTCCTTCTTCTTGCGAATGATAGTGGAACACTTGAATCCCTTTTTGAAGCTCCCTTCAAAAAAGCGGACTTAAAATTACTCACCCAAGGTTGCCTCCCTTTACTGTTTTGGCGCCAAAATCAGTCACATGATCGCCCATGCTTGTCACTCTCTCCATTTTTGAGCCCGACACCCGGATTTATAGGAAAATCCAGAGTGCCATGAGGGGAGGTTGGGAGGGCTGACCTCATGAGTCAGGATAAGCATAAAATATCAATTTTAGTCAGAAAATTACATATTTTTCCTTATCCTGACTCATGCTATTTGCTTGTAGAATCCGATGGATTTGGTGGTGGGTCGCGCCACTTCTGGATTCCAAGCTTGGTGATTTACGTCCTGCATACCCCCCTATGGGAACTTCATGGTAGCACTGTTAATTTTCTGCTAGGGTCTGCTGCTGCTGACCTTATCTTCCAGCTTTCTCTGATGGGGGGACCACAACTTGTCAGCTTTTGGTCCTTTCTTCTGCTAACATTATGTGTGGATTTGTGCAACTCCATCTCTTTATGCTTGCATCAAGTGGAGAAGCGACCCTTCTTATGTACGAGTATTTCCTTACAAGTACAGGGTCTATCACTCATGCTGGTCTGTCTTAGATGAGCACATGGACTCCAAAGCTCTAACTCCTCAGAGCGTTGGCTTTTGCAAGTCACGTGATAAGGCCACTGTGGATTCATAGGTTGCTGCTTTACGCCGTGTGCGTCCACACACACACACACACACACACACACACACACACACACACACACACACACACACACACACACACACACACACACACACACACACAGTGGAACTTCTATGGCACTTGTGCTGATCCTGTTGTTTGTAATGCCAAAGTTACTTTAGTTCAAACAGAAACAATAAAAATAGAAATGAAACATAGAACATATATTTACATATACCGGAACACAGAAGTCTTGCAATACATATATCTTAAATAAAGTATCACAACATACTGGTATACATCTATATAATAATGTCATTTTCTGACTAAAATTGATATTTTATACTTATCTTGACTCATGCTTTTTGCTTGTCTCCTTCTTCTTGCGAATGATAGTGGAACACTTGAATCCCTTTTTGAAGCTCCCTTCAAAAAAGCGGACTTAAAATTACTCACCCAAGGTTGCCTCCCTTTACTGTTTTGGCGCCAAAATCAGTCACATGATCGCCCATGCTTGTCACTCTCTCCATTTTTGAGCCCGACAGCCGGATTTATAGGAAAATCCAGAGTGCCATGAGGGGAGGTTGGGAGGGCTGACCTCATGAGTCAGGATAAGCATAAAATATCAATTTTAGTCAGAAAATTACATATTTTTCCTTATCCTGACTCATGCTATTTGCTTGTAGAATCCGATGGATTTGGTGGTGGGTCATGCCACTTCTGGATTCCAAGCTTGGTGATTTACGTCCTGCATACCCCCCTATGGGAACTTCATGGTAGCACTGTTAATTTTCTGCTAGGGTCTGCTGCTGCTGACCTTATCTTCCAGCTTTCTGATGGGGACCACAACTTGTCAGCTTTTGGTCCTTTCTTCTGCTAACATTATGTGTGGATTTGTGCAACTCCATCTCTTTATGCTTGCATCAAGTGGAGAAGCGACCCTTCTTATGTACGAGTATTTCCTTACAAGTACAGGGTCTATCACTCATGCTGGTCTGTCTTAGATGAGCACATGGACTCCAAAGCTCTAACTCCTCAGAGCGTTGGCTTTTGCAAGTCACGTGATAAGGCCACTGTGGATTCATAGGTTGCTGCTTTACATCGTGTGCGCGCACACACACACACACACACACACACACACACACACACACACACACACACACACACACACACACACACACACACACACACACACACACACACACACACACAGTGGGAACTTCTTATGGCACTTGTGCTGATCCTTTTCTTCCAGTTTCCTCTGATGAGTCTGGGGGGACCACAACTTGTCAGATTCTCTGGAACTCTTCTCCTGACATTATGTGTGGATTTATACGACTCCATGTCTTGATGCTCGCATCAAGTGGAGAAGCGACCCTTCTTCATGTACGAGTAACTCCTTTACAAGTACAGGGTCTATCACTCATGCTGGTCTGCCCTAGATGTGCGCATGGACTCTAAAGCTCTAGCTTTCCAGAGCGTTGGCTTTTACAAGTCACGTGAAAATGGGTGAGATCCATCTCAGCACCTTTGTGGAACCGTCAATTGTTGTGCTACAACAAGAGGCCCAGGCTGGTGAATGCCGGAGACGTCCTCGGTAGCAATGTCTTTGAGGTAGTGGTTGGCAAACACCGTCTCCGACTTCCATAAGCAGCCGTCCATTATCGTCGAGATGGAGCAGTTTCCATGCATGCAGAGCGTGTGTCGATGCCAGAGCTCTGACTTCATGATGGTTGGGGGCTTGTGGAGGCTCAAGTCCTGCTGCTTTGTAGGCCCTTAAGATGACGGCTCTCATCCAAATGGATATTGTTGTACGTGAGACTTCTGTGGTTGTCTCCGTAGATAGAGGGATGAAAAGGCGCTTGAATTTTCGTCTCCTCGTGTTAGTTCTTTGTAGGTAGATTTTTAATGCTCTGACAGGGCATAAGGATAGATCCTGGATATCCTGTGGCCCAAGGACTGTAGAGAGTGCTGGGATGTGGAACTGTCTGTCTGGTTGACCGGTCAGTTGGTTCTTTGCTATGAAATCCCATCTCAGTCCTAGATGTACGATGTTACGATGTGCATCAAATCGTATTCGTTCAAAGTCCAGAGCATGTATCTCCGACATCCGTGCTGCTGTTGCCAAAGCGATCAGGAACAGAGTTTTGTGCGTTAAAAACTCTTAGGATGTCCTTTTTAGTGGTTCGTAAGCGTCACTGGTGAGATGCTGCAAGACTACGTTGAGATCCCATGCAGGTGCCTTAAACTGCTTTTGTTGGTCTTCCAACTTGAAGGAGCGTAGTAGTGCCAGTATCTCTGGTACTTTGGTCAGCTTAACACCCGTCTTCATGGTGATAACCGTGCTGAGGGCCGCTAGGTATGTAGAGAGTGTTGAACCTTTTAACCGCCTCGTTTGTCTTAGATAACATAGGTATTCCGCCACTTGAGGATGCGTTGCTTTCATCGCCGTGAAGCCCTTCCTCAAAGCGTATTCCTCAAATCTTGTCGTACAAGTTGCGGGTTGTCACTGCTTTCGCTGCTCTAGCGGAATATCCTCTTTTCTTCAAGCAAATCTTGATACACTCCATGCAACTGGAACACTGTGCTTGGTGTGCGGATGGATGAGTAGGTTCGGCCACTCTGGGAGTTGCAGGGTTGGACTTCCGAGTTCTTGCATGAGGATGGGAAACCACACCCTCGCCGGCCAATAGGGTTGGAGCTTCTTCGAAGCTTGATTTTCTTGCATTAGAGGATGGGAAACCGTAAGCGTTTAGTTCTTCCCAAGAGATGCTTAGAGCATCTGTTGCCCATGCTTGTGGATCGGGAATCGGAGAGACGAATGTTGGTAGTTGTTTGTTGAACTTTGTAGCAAACAGGTCTATCAGCAGAGATGATGCATCGGAAGGCTTCTGGATGTAGCATCCATTCCATCGGGGATGGTTGTGCTGGACGAGATGGGGCGTCTGCTATCACATTCTTGGCTCCCGAAAATGTGGCATGCTTTTATCTAGATGTTCAGGTCATCTATAATGCTGAACAGATGAAAGCTGAGATCTAGAAGATTTCTTGATCTTGTTGATCCTTGTTTGTTGATGTAGAACGCTACTGTGGAGTTGTCCGTATGGATCATCAGCTGTGCGTTCCTTAGTATGCTGGACCAGTGTAGTAAGGCGTTTATTACTGCTTTCATCTCGAGCATGTTGATGTGCAGGCTCTGCTCCTGACTCGACCATTTCTCTGCTGCCACTTCGTTGTCGAAGTGAGCTCCCCATCCTTGAAGCGATGCATCTACGTAGAGATGAGTGCTGCACTCCGGCTCCGATAAATAGGTTCCTCCTCAGACATTCGACTTCAGAGTCCACCATAGAAGATACGGTTTCAGACTGTCCGGTAACACGAAGGGGTCCAGACTGTCGAGATGGGCGTTCACGAACACTTGTAGTGGGCGCAGTTGTAGTCTTCCTCTGCGAGTCATGTCTTGAGCTGACGTGAGAAGACCGAGTAGGCTCTGCCAACTTCCTAGAGGTAACGGAGAGAGTAGTGCTTGAGATATCATGTGTTGTATCTTGACCCAACGATCCTCTGGGACGACTATGCGATTCGCCGACGTGATTAGCTGCATTCCTAGGAATTGAAGATCCTGTGTGGGTTCTAGTTCTGACTTGAGGAGATTTACTAGCCATCCTAGTTGAGTGAGAAGCCTGATGGTGAAGTCCAGTTGCAGTCTGAGTTGACAGGGATCTTGATGAATTTGAATCCCCGTTGTCCAGGTAAAAGGCACTGCGTAGACCTCGATGATGTAGATATGTGATGATGGGCTTTGTCACTCAAGTAAATAACCAGGGGGCCGACGATATTCCAAATGGTAGCACCTTCCATTGGAAATGACATCCGTTGAAGAGGAATCGTAGGTATTTCCTTGAGACTGGATAAATCGCGATCTGAAGATACGCATCCTGTAGATCTATGCTGGCGAGGTAGTCTAACGGACCAACGAGTTGTCGCAGCTGAGGAAGAAGTATCATCCTGAACTTTGCGGGTCTGCGTAGATAATCTTGGTTGAATTTCCTCATGTT